AGGGGCTAATAGGTACTCATGCAGTCCCAGGATTTACTTAAGAGTATCCTGAGGCCAAGAAGGGAGCCAACTTTAAGATGGCCTTGCATATAACAGAGCATAGGTGACAGTATTGAGCCACCATGCCTAACAATGATTTTTCTTTTTCAGTGTTGTGGGTTAATAAGCAAACTATACTCAGACAATTTGAATTGTGTTTTTCTTTTTTGTGTCTTGCAAACAAAATAATCCTAAGCAATATACCTCTTTTCCATATCTTTTAAAAATTATATTTATTCTTCTTAAATTAAAAATCATTATTGTTTTTATAGTTGTTATCACTTTTAAAATAATTTACCTGGGAAATTTCGAGATGCATAAGTGAAATTATTAGATCATAAATAAAGGATAATGCATTTTAATTGTACTTTCTACTTTCTAATTAAAAAGAATTCTCTATCCAATTTTTATATTGTAATATGGATTCTCATATTTTATCCTTACTTCTTGTTTTTTTCTGCCTTTGGGTATTTTTTAATAAGAATATTTTGCTTTCTAATGTTATTGTTCAAATTTCTTTAACTGTGCTGTAAATGTTTACCCTTTAGAAGCTGGGTGACCTCCCCCACTAGAGCTCACTAATGAGGCCACTGTCTTGTGTCCCTTCATTTGTAGGTCAGCTTTGTTGCCGTAATTCCTCAGCAGCCAGGGTCATTGGACCTTTTTAGCAGGCCATCTCACAAATAGATGTCACTGCTCATAAACAAAAGAATTTCATAAGACAATTTAGATGAATAAACATTTTCTCTCACTCTGTCTCAATAAGTGGAAGCATTATATCATTACATCCCATTTCTTATTGTGAATTAGCATCCTCCCAAGATAGTTTTAACGTAATATGTGGTACAGTGGCAGGCCCAAATGGCCACTTTGTGCTTTAGATTATGGCACCTATACAAATTTCAGTATTGATGGTTGTTATGCACTTTATTAAATTAATTTTGCAAATATTTTGATGCATCTGCTGTGTGCTAACCAGTCCCTTAGATGCTGTGGGGACATATTACTTTCTAATGTTATAGTCTAAGTGACGTAAGAGAGGAAGCCACAACATTCTGTGGGAGAGGGAAGGCAGGGTGGGGACAGGAGATGGAGTAAGGAGTGGGGAGGAGAAATCAAAAGGCTCTCAGAACAATTAGTAAGGGAGCTGGGCTTTGAAGATCACTTAGCACTTAGGCATTGGGGTGACCATGGACATTCCAAAAAGAGAGCAAAGGTGCAGAATGCTAAGTGAAGTTAGCCAACCCCAAAAAGACAAATACCGAATGTTTTCTCTGATATAAGGTGACTGACTCATAGTGGGGTAGGGACGGGGAGCATGGGAGGAACAGACGAGCTCTAGATAGGGCAGAGGGGTGGAAGGGGAAGAAGGGGTCAGGGGGTTAGCAATGATGGTGGAATGTGATGGACATCATTATCCAAAGTACATGTATGAAGACACGAATTGGTGTGAACATACTTTATATACAGAGATATAAAAAATTGTGCTCTATATGTGTAATAAGAATTGTAATGCATTCTGCTCTCATGTATTTAAAAAAATAAAACCAATTAAAAAAAAGGTCAAGGTATATCCTAGGCACTGTTTGGCTAAAGCATGGGATGAATGAAAATAAATAGTTAAGAAGTAAAGTTGAAAACATAATCGGCAGCTGACAGAATCCTTGGGTGTCCTGCCAAAGAACTGAAGGTGCAGAGCTTGGAGGAAGTTACTGGGTGAGGTAAGCGAATTGGAAGCTTTTTGCCTCAGAGTTAAGGGTAGAAAAAAGTGGCAGGTAAACTGGTTGGAAGAGGCAGAGGGAGAGTTCTGGGCTGGCAGAGCAGGTAGAGAGTTGGAGAAGGGGATCATGGAAGAGGGAGACTTCAGGGGGGGGGGGCGGCGAGGTGAACTGAAAACCTGCAGGGAAATCCCACCTGAGCTGACTTCTAAGAATTACACATGGAGGAGACCCCAGTGGGCCCAGTGGGCCCAAGAGACAAGCAAAGCTGGAAGACAAAAGAACCTTAGAGGCTGTCCATGTGGGAGGGAGGCTCCCCTACTAATTGTTCTGGAGCCTTCTGATGTCTCCTCCCCACTCCCTGCTCCATCTCCAGTCCTGTCCCCACCCTGCCTTCCCTCGCCCATGGAATGTTGTAGCTTCCTCCTTATGTCACTTAGACTATAACATTAGAAAGTAGTTTTGGTATTAAGGTTGTACTGGCCTTATGAGTCAGAGTATGTATTCTCTGCTACTATTGTCTGAGAAAGTTTGTACAAGACTTGAATTATATTCTTCTTTTCAGAATTGGTGCCCTTAACCAGTGAAGCTACGTGAGTCCTGCATTATATTTATGTGGGAGATTTTAATTATTGACTTAAATTCTTTATGTACTATGCCAATGTTTGCATTTTAACTTATTTTCTATTTTTCTGATGTTGGTTTTGATAGGTTCACGTTATCCTATCATAATATTTTCAATGTCTGTAAAATTTGTGTAATGTTCCCTTTTTATAACATCTGATATTGGTTATTTTTTTGCTTTCTCTCATTTTTTTATCCCTAAGTTTGCAAATGTGTATTGATTTGATTAGTAACTTCATGAAATCAACCACAATTTGGTTTTTGATTCCTTGCAGTTATTTTAAACATTTTTATATTATGATTTTTAGCTTAATATTTTATTCTTTTTTCTCTTGGTATTCTTTCTATAATTGATTTCAATGGCTATTTAATTTGCTACTCTTTTCATTTTTTAAGTTACATTTAAGGCTATTAGATTCTGGGAGGAATCTTCATAGAAAGTAATCAGAAATGCTAGCTGATGATGGTGAGGTCAATTTTTGCCTCTGGATAAAAGGAAACTTATACCAATAGTAAGAAAAAAGGTACACACAGCCATTACATGTTATGCCAATTGTATACATCAGCCTGCTTCCAGATCAATTGGCCTTATTGCAGAATTCTATCTGAAAGATTTAGTTTAAGCACATAATGTTTTCCCAGTGTGCTGGGACTTGGCATGACCTTGCACAGTTAGCCAGCATTTCTTGCTGAGAAAAGTTTGGCTTTATGGACATGGACTGAGAAGAGAGAGCAGAAGTTAGACTCAGGATCAGTACACAATGACAAGAACCAAGGCATCCTTGCAGGGACAGCCACCATGATAAGTCATAAGGCTGCTAGAACTTTAAATTATTAGACACCTAGGTAGGTAATTTTCCTGACAATCATGTTTCTTGAGTTCTAATAATGTTTTCACCCATCAGCAAGTGACCTCTAGAGTGTACCATCTATTTTGTCATAACATGTCACTTCTTTCTTAACTCATTGTTGTATCTTCAAATACAGAGCAAACAAAATTGAAGATCACTTCACCTTGGCTTGAGGTTTTCTAATTTCTTGGTCTATTTTAATTGTAAAAAACATGATAAAAATATGACTTAGTAACTCTCTTTCTGCCCTTCGGATCTTCACAGGGACACGGGGGTCACCTGAGAAGGCAGCAATCCTAACATGATATTGTTGCTATTCTGGTGGATGCAAGGGGAAAGGACAGATAGATAGTTCCTGGAGAGAATGTCCCGGTCCTTTGGTGTTTATCAGTGAAATGTGGGTATCCTCCTTTCGAAATGTAGAATTTCAACTAGAATGTAATGTGTTTAGAGAGCATGACCCGTTTGGGTGAGTAAGCCACACTTGGAGGATGCTTTCACACGGCTCAGTCCTGTCCCCTTCCAAGGGCCTCCCCAGGCCACCCCTCAGCAGCTGAGGCACCAGGGGCCCCTGTTAAGGGCCTTTGGTTTTCACACCTGGTGACACTTTTGTCTGGTTTCACCTCTGTGTTGGTGGCAATGTGGCCTGGTAAGTTGGGATCTCTGTGGTGACCACAAAGACTGGAGGGCAAGTTTCTCAGCTGATTCAGTGTGGTCACTGAGATTCAGCATGGGAGCTGAAAGTCTAGTCCTGTGAAGTGCACTTCAAACCAGTGACAGGCGACAATCCAGCCTCCGGGCCATGACCCTGCGCTGGACTGTCACACATGTTCCGACAGCCAACGCGGGGCTCCCAGGTGCGCTGCCTCTCCTCCAGGGAAGGAGATGAGGCGAACTGGGCTGGAAGCAGGGAGCCATGAGGCCTGGGCCTGTGTCCAGCAGGTGGCATCCAAGAACAGTTGGGACTGACCCCTGCTTTTAGTGAGCAGCAGAGGGCTGGGCAGTGGCTATCTGGGGCCTCTGGTGTGGTGGTGCCCCAACCAGAGGAGCTGGCCTGACCCCAGCAGCTGAGGACAGACCACCTTCTCTCTGAGCCTTCACAGGTGGGCACTGGGGGTGACCTACGGTGACCCTAATACCAGGGCAGAGGTGAGAAGGTCCAGGGAAGCTATCAGGGGACATGATCTCAGAAACACCCTGGAAGGGGCTGCAGAGGGTCAGAGGTCTCCGGGCAGAGTGGGCAGCCAGGGACAGTCCCTGGAGGGGACTGTGGCAACCTGCCCAATTTTAAAATGTCACCTACTAAAATGTTGATCTTTTCTCATTCCTTAAAATTATAAATGTTACTTACAAATCTACTACCTAAAAGGTACTCGGCCTGTATTGTTGCGGTATACAAATTAGGGACGCTATTTAAAAAGAACCTGGGTGTGCATCGCTGTGTACACATGCAAAGACACCCCACCTCAGAGTGTACATRTCAGTACCTGGGTAGGGTCAGTACTGTGTCATCACCATGAAACGTTTTTTTAAAAATTAGTGCAAACCTCCCACGATTTAGTTTGTTTATGTGTCTAAGCCATAGTGTAGCATTGATGATGGGATCTATTTTCAGAATTTTGGGTTTTCTAGCTTCATAAATCAATTTATAAAAATTCTCACAAAAACCAGGGATCGCCTCTGTTTGCTGTGTTTTATTGCTTAATTAGCAAGTTGTCAAAAGCGGCACCATATAAACTGAGCGATGCTTTCTCACCTGTTCACTTACTTTTTATCGGAATAATGAGCTGAGGAATGACAGGTAGAATCTTGTTTCCCCCATGTTCCAGCATGTCATGGATTCCTTGCCGAGCAAAAAACTCATAGGGAAATGTCATTTCACAAAGCCCATCAAAAAACAGAGGCAGGTAATGATGGTAATCCAGCTTCTCGATTTCCACCTGGAAGTAGAGAAGAGAGGTCGTGTAAGAACAGCATTGGGTCAGCAAGCTCAGCTAGCCTCCAGGCTTGGTCCCCACCTGGGCAGGAACAGACTCTGCAGAGCTCTCTGAAGGGTGTGACAGGCCAGGGCACCCGGCCACCTGGAGCATGTCTCATGCCTTCGTTTGTTAGTAAGTGCAAACTTATTTGCTGATCTGGAAATCTTAGCAGTCAGATCTCTTTCTGACATCGGGAGATGTTAATTATTTGCTTCTTTTTAAAAATGATTCAAGAAGCCCATTGTATTGTGTTGAGAGATACATGTAGGAATAAAACACAACAACAACAACAGAAAACAGTTGAAACAGATCAGCTCCCGGAGCTCTAGGAGGGACAGCAGGGAAAGTGTGTTGCTGTACTCTGGTGACGGATCTCAAAATGAGGCATCTTTAGGACCTGGCCAGCGAGAGGGAATCAAATATCCACGGAGCCTGGATGACAAGTTAGTGGCGTCAAGAAAAAAGGACAAGACAGAGTGTGCTGAACCTGAATGGACCCCTGACACCTCAGAATCAAAATGTCCCAGGTCTCCCCAAGCTGCTTCTTCTAGGGGTCGAGCTGTCTGTCTTTCCCCCTCCTCCAGCTGTCTCCCCCACTGACACCTCTCAGACCTCCTGCCAGACCTTTGCGTCAGGGAATGGAACTAACCTCTGCAGCACTGCTCTTTACCATGTCTGGGTGAATCAAATGGCCTGTGGTTCCCGGGGCAGGGGCCCTGACTGCAGCCTGCTCATGAACTTCCCATTCACAATGCACCTTGCCATAGTGGCTGGAGAGGAAGAGGGAGCCCAGCCAGCCAAGGCAGCAAACTTCAGATCCTCATTTGGATCAGTTGTTCTTTATATTCCTTGTGTACTTACAGTATTCATTTTATTCAGTAGAAGTTTGTGGGATATCTATTTAATATTTATCTTTTCAAGGTTTTTTTGCATATGAAAATATTTTAGCACATTATTTTGTACATTTTGAAAAACTTATTGCTGCATAATTCAGCTATTAAAGGTACACTGTTGTTTTGCAGAATTTTATCTTGTAACCTGACTTCATGATAAATGTCATCTGTACTAGAATCTTGTGTTAAATTTTTAAAGTATGCTGCTGTTCTCTTTTGGCTCACTGTCACATTTTTACATGTTTCTCTTATAATTAGCAAATCATTAATATTTTTACTATAATCTAAGTCCCTATATTTTAATACAATAATCTAGGTCATTTATATTTATATCTAGGCCTGGTTTAACTTGAGTCGTCTTATTTTATGTGTCTGGTGGTTGTTTTCACTTACTGTTTCTTTTCTATTTTACAGTTTTGTTATATAGATTTTGCTTTATTTGCCTTAGTTTATTATTATTTTTGTGATGAATTTTTAAAGATAAAACAGACTTCTTAGATATTTTATCACAGTTATAGCTTTCTCAAAGATTTTTAAACATATTAACCTTAATTAGATGGGTAAGTTAAAAATGTCCTAATAAGATGGTTGACGTGCCAATTCTTCCTTGGAATTCTATTTCTTTCTTCATTTGGTTTGAGGCAACTGTACTACAACAAAAGCAACAAACAGTAATGCCAATATTTATGCTGCCAGACCCTGTATAAACACAGCACTAGTTTATTTAATCAACAATTTGAATTAGTATTGTTAGTATCCTTTTAATTTGCAGCATGTGGAAACTGAGGCACAGAGCAGCTTATCAGCTTGCTCAAGTTCTGCAGCTCATGAGTGTTGGCATGAGGACTCTAACCCCAACAGGCTGGCTCTGTGACAGGGCACCACTCCTCTGGCTTGTTGTTGGGCACATCAAGGATCGGGCAGTATTGGAACCTCCTAGTGAATTGCTCCCCTTGTCCTTCTGCCCTGTCCTCATTATCATCATTGACACAGTTCGTCTTCACCTGATGTCACTGTTGCCACAACAGGGTCACCTAGCACATGCTTATTTTCTACCCTTCAGCTTTCTGCTTTGCTCCGACATATTTTGAGAATCTCCTCTGTAGCTTATAGCTGGATTTGCTTTGTTCCCTTCCATGTTACAATGTGCCTTTGAACATGAGCACCCATATGATACATTTTCTAAGACATTTTGGGGGAAAAAAACCAAGAATTTTTGAAGCAAGGAAGAGAAAAGAGAAAGAGAGAGTTATTGAAAGACAGAAACATTGAATGAAAGACTAAGTGAGCAAGAGACTGAGAAAGAAGAATTGCCCCTATGTCTTTAAATCCTTCTGGCTCTTGCACCTCAACAACTCTTCCCTACAAAATCCCTCTCCTCGAGTGTTCTTTCTCTGACCTCACCATTGACCATTGGCATTTCTGCTGTCCTTGCAGATGTGTTGCCTAAGGAATGGAATAACAACTGGCCAGTACAATCATAAACTTATTTAAGCACCATAGATACTGTTCAGCTTGCAATGGGGTGAATTTGTATCTAACTTTCTTCCTGCTTGTGAATCTTCTAGGGTCTCTTCTTATGACTATAATTCCATTTTCAGCTGATGAATTTGGCTTGGCCCTGGGTAAGCCCTCTTGGATCCCGTTCACCACAGGAGTTGTGTATGAGTGTTAATAACATATATTACTTTTCTCTGTAGTTTTCTTTCTTTCTTTTTTTGAAAATTTCCTTCTACTTGTTGGTCTACTTTCACAGTAAAGTGGATGTATAACCCATGTGAATCTGCAATACGTATATGGGGTAAAAATGGGAGTTCATAATCCACTTGAATCAAATGTATGAAATATGATATGTCAAGAGCTTTGTAATGTTTTGAACAACTAATAAAAAAAAGTTTTTCAAGAGAATTCTCTAGAATCATTTCTATATCTCCTCACTCTCGGTCTCTCTTCCCACTTCTCCACCATCTCATTGAAGTTGCTTTATGGAGGTCACCAATGACCACCTCTCTGCCTCATGGCCTTGTCCCTTTTCTGTCCTCATCAGCACAGCACAGCTGACGTCATGAAGTCACCTGCCCTGGGCCTCCTGGTGCCACACCTCCAATGCTGGTGGCTGTCTTGATTCCCAGCAGCAGTCGGACTCCAGATAAATCCTTAAATCATCTGCTTGTCCACCACTTTGCTCAGTCCCCACTTGGTCGGAGCCCACCTGCCTTACCTGGGTGGCTACTGCAGCCTTGTGGCTGGCCCCTTGTTTATATTTCTGCCTCCTTATTTCCATTTTCCTGTCTTGGGTCCTGGGCCTGCTGTTGCTCCTGACCAGAGCCCCACCCAAGACCTCCCCATCTGGGCTCTGGGTGTCTGCAGTCCACTGGATCCCCCTAAATGTGGTGCTCCAGAGACACGGGGCCTTTCCCCAGGCTGGCCTGTGCACCTGTCTGAGTCTGCTCAGGCAGCCGACACAAGCCCCGCAGGTGGAGTGGCTTCAACACTCACACTTATTCTCTCACAGTTCTGGAGGCTGGAAGTTCAAGATCAGGTTGAGGCCTCTTTTCCTGGTTTGTGGAAGTCGCCTTGTCACTGTCCTCACAGGGCCTTTCCTGTGTGTGTGCACACAGCCAGCTCTGGGGTCCCTCCACTTCTTTCCAGGGCACAGTCCTTCTGAGTGCACTTAACCTGTGTGACGTCGGCATGGCCCCATGTCCAAAGAGGTACACAGGGTGTGAGTGCTCCCCACGGTGAATTGTGTGTTGGGCAGGGGGCACATTGAGGCTCTTGCACACCATCCTCTCTCTGCCAGGCCTCTCTGTCACGGGCAGGTCCTGCCATCTAGACCTCAGTTCTCCAGGCCTTCCTACCAACACCTCTGGCCCTGCTTGATTTTCTTTTAGCCCTAATCACTTATTCCTTCAGTTTCTTAAGTTCTGTTGTTCAGGGAGYTTGTCGCCACCTAGAAGGGTGTTTGGCACATGATAGGTGTTGAGTTTTAATCGTGGCCTTTGGAATCTGCCCTGTGTGTTGCCCTCCTTGAGAGCCTTGCTCAGCTGAGGACTGCCGGCCAGGGCATGGGAGCCGGGTGGGGGCTGGGGCAGGCTGCTCAGGGGGCCTGGCGCTTCCCACAGACCCTGCAGCAGGAAGGGGAACGCAAGTGCCTCAATTTACAGCACGGTGTGTTCCTCACAGTGCTTTCTGTGATTATTCCCATTTCAGGAGCTTTATGAGTACTTTAGTAGGCACTCAGGATGGGGCCCTGGATGCTGGTATTTACCCTCATTTCACTAGAAATCAGGTAGGGCTCAATTGGCTTTTCTGTTTACTTTTCAAATCATAGAAGAATAGTTTCTGTTTTTCATAGTGTCATCCTGTGCAGGCATATTACAATATGTCCATATTGATCCTAATTATAAGAGGACTTCATTTGAAAAGTCTGGATGTTAAGAATACTTTACGATTAAACCAAAACTTGAAGAAGAGATAAATGAGGCGTCCGTCCCCTATTGACCTCTGTGTTTGTTGTGCCATGACTCCTGTCACTTGGAGTGCTTCTAACAGCTGGCTTCAGCTTCATTTAGATTTCTAGAAAGCCATATTTAAGGTTTATTTAGCAGTAGACTTTTTTTCAGTTTCATAATCTTTTTGCTCTTAAGGTATAATATGCTTTATATTTACTAAATATTACCATAAAAGTAGTTTTCAAATTTGAGGATCTTCTTTAAAGTTTCCATAACTAAATCCAGAACTAAAAGAAAACTCTCTGAAGTGGAGCACAGACAGGTGCTGTTTTAGAGGTCATTAAAATTACATGGAGATACACTGATTAATGACTACTTTGATAGCAACTCCAGAAACATGGAGTATTTTTATGCACAGAGTCTTTTTAAAATTGATGTTTTATAACTTTTTAAAGATCGCAGTACCTACAAGTGGATCTCTAAATCTTTCAGTGACCTTTGGTCAAAAGCAATAAAATTCTAACTTGACCTGGTGTGTCAAATATAGCATTTTATCCCCATAACAAATGTGAAAGGTAGTGGCGCTGCACTCAAAGGTCAGAAACACAATAAG